TAAATTTAAATGAAAACTTTATAAACACATTAAAATACATATATAGTCATAATAACATAAATTTAGTACAATTAAATAATATAAAGATTAAACTTAGTATATCTATTCATTTCTTTGTGAAATTTATTTTCTAATTAGTTATATTATTTTGTTATTCGTTAAGATATATTAAATATCAAGTTCATATTAGTTATAAATAAAATTTTTAATATTTTTATAGAGGTTTGAAACATGAATTGATGATGAGATTTTGCGGATACGGAATCGTGAGAATCAGAAAACCAAAACAGTTATTCCATTATGTCTCATTTAAAGTTCATTATTATACCAAAAAAATCAAAATATAAACAAATGTGGTAATCGTAAATTTTTATAAATTATAATTTTGATTAGCGTTTTGAAAGTTTTTTTCTACACAAATTGTATTTATCTTTCATATTGGCTAATTGGAATTTTGTTTCATGAGTATGTAATTTTTCAATTTGCATGATGACTTGACAAAAAATAAAATTAGATAAATGTTCGATTATTTATATAATATTAGCTATAAAACTAATCTCAAATGAGATTTCCAGTTTATGTTTGTTTCGTTTCCAAATAAGAATCATATTTTTTCCTAAAAATCCCGCGCATACTTTATTTGCATATTTTATTTGGAAATTGGCATATTTTATTTGGAAAACCAAAACACCATCACTTAACCGTGGGTAAATGTATTGTTTTCTAAGTAACAATAAAACAAATACAAAAACAAGTAAGGGACCCACAAAATCACCTAAAAAGATGAAATTAGCGAATCTATCGGTGGGGTGGGGTCTGGAGGCTAATGCAAATCGCATGAAACTTTTTATTGGTTCGGCTCCAATCGCAGAACACCAAACATTTGCGGTTTCTCAAATCTCTTCACGATTCTTCTCCCATTGCCCCTGTTCGATCCCAAATCATAAGAAAATCAAATGGGGGTGGCTCAAGCCATGGAAGCTCTTACCGAGCGAGCTGGTCTGATGAAAGAGTCATTACACAAAAGCCAAACCATCACCGATAACATGGTCGGAATCCTCGGCTCTTTCGACCACCGTCTCTCCGCTCTTGAAACCGCCATGCGACCCACTCAGGTCTCTGTTACATTTTGTGAGATTTGAGATCTATCTTCAATTTTTTTTGTTTTCGTTTGTTGTAATCGGAATCAGATTGTGAATTCCGGTAGATAATTTCCG